ACAGAAGCTCTGTCAGTCTTTGTGTTTTGCAGTCTAACACCATCTGGTCGAAATCTCCAACTTGCAAGTACCCGGCAGTGAGGTAGTTGGAGATTTCAACGAGTTGGAGCTTTCGATAGAACACCGGCTTCCTTTCCAATCAGGAAGTCGGGTGGCGGGTTATGACCCACCTTCTGGCTTCTGATTGGCTAGGAAGCTGGCTTCAGTTGTTGCTAGGCAGCCTGGCTTCCTAACCATTTAGGAAGCCGGGCAGGACGTCATGACCCGCCTCCCGGCTTCCTTTTTGGTCAGCAAGCCAAGCTGCCTAGCAACAACTGAAGCCAGCTTCCTAGCCAATCAGTAGGCTGGGAGGCGAGTCATGATGTGCCGCCCAACTTCTTCATTGGCTAGGAAGCCGGCTTTACTTGTTGCTAGGTAGGCTGGCTTCCTGACCAATCAGGAACCCGGGCAGCACCTCATGACCCGCCGTCCGGCTTCCTGATTGGTCGGAAAGTGAAGCCGGTGTCCTTTCAATAGAACACCGACTTCCCAGGCAATCAGGAAGCCGGGCGACGTGTCATGATCCTGCTGTGATCAGGAGAGGATCTGTGCACGGATCCCCTCCTGATCAGCCCGTGTGAAAGGGGCCTTAAGAAGCATTGCACAGGCTGTGTAGTACATGATTGACTTATCTATACATACAATGAGGAATGGGCCAAAAACTTCCCAGAGATATTAAAGAGGAAGGCGTAACACTCCCAATGATGGGACATCACAGAAATTAATTTATGATTTGTTACAAATTCCGGTAAAAATCCGCCGAACACAAATGCCCCTTCGCTGTCCTCAGTTCAACTCCAGATGTTTCGCTGTCTGCGAGCCTAAAGTGAGGCTTTAATACAGAGCAGAATATTTATGGATCTACAAGTCTCTGAAAATGTAACATGTGCGGGGAAATCGTTTCCTTGTGACTGAATCCTACTGACCTGTCTTCCAGTGATAACTGTGCGTCTGTATCACAGTACAGGACATTGCTCTAAAGCTGGACTCCGAGCACACACACTTCCATTCAAATCTATTCCTCAATGGCCACAAAGGATATACCTCTGCTTCGTGGTTATCAAATGGCTTTGGAAACCCAGATATTGCCTTATAAAAGTAGTAGTAACATCATAATTGTGCTGCACATAAAGAGCAGAGCGGGAAGGGGACCATCAGCTCCGTCCTGCAGAAAACTACAGAAGAGGCGGATAAAAGACCAGTCACCTTGTACAAGGGGAGAGAGCAGTAGAGACCGGTCTTTATTACAGGAAGCTCCAAGTCTCACACTGGATTACTGCACAGATCTGGAAGAAATACACAAAGCTCACCAAGATTCAAGTAAGAATACACATGACTCTTGTTGGAGGACATTATTTCCTTAATGCAGAGTTTAGCTTTAAAATAAATAGGTGTTTGAATCATGAAATACCAAACACCCGCTGTGGGACGGGAGAGCAGTAAGTGTGAAAGAGGCCATAGTTTCTCCGCCAGCGAGAATTAGAAGCTACTCGCCAACATGAATGAGGTCTGTTATGAATGAGGACTAACTCCTGAATGAGGACCTTACCTGAGTGAGACCTTGCCTAAATTAGGCTTAACCTGAATGAAGCCTTACCTGAATGAAGCCTTACCTGAATGAGGACTAACTCCTCAATGAGACCTTACCTTAATTAGGCTTAACCTGATTGAGATCTAACCTGAATGAGGCCTGTCATGAATGAAGCCTTAGAAGAATGAGGCCTTACTTCAATGAGGACTAACTTCTGAATGAGACCTTACCTGAGTGATACTTTACCTAAATTAGGCTTCACCTGAATGAGTCCTGTCATGAATGAGGCTTTACATGAATGAGGACTAACTCCTCAATGAGACCTTACCTAAATAAGGCTTAACCCGAAAGAGGTCTTACCTGATTGAGGCCTTACCCGAGTGAGGCCTAACCTGATTGAGACCTTACCTGAATGAGGCCTGTCATGAATTAGGGTTCACCTGAATGAGGCTTAACCTGAATGAGAACTTGCCTGAATTAAGCTAATCCTGAATGAGGCCTAACCAGAATGAGGACTAGCCAAAACGAGATCTGCTTTACATAGACTCTAATGCAAGAAGTAATATATCCCCATTGTTCAGTGCGCTCGGCCACCACACATGACAGATTCATTTTCACACACAGCAAGTGGAGGGTTGCCTCCATTGTTCCCGGGCCTCAATAAGGCCAGGCCTCCCGAGATGTCTGTGGGGATGATGTCTTTGGCTGAAGCATTGGCTCTTCTGGTTTGCTTTAGAAAAGGAAACCATTCTTCTCACAGCTCCTCTTAAGACATTCCACATTCCTCTTCTGTCCTCCAAGTGTGTGCAGACACAGGAACATTTCCATCTCAATGGCAGGGAAGGCCGAGCTCAGGGCGATGCGATCCGTGTGACAAAGGAGGAAAACGTTTTATATTATTTCACTTTGGGCTACATTTAGAGCAGATGTAAATCCTAACCTTCACTTGTGTGTACGCATTTTTTTTGTTGCATGTTTAATTTAATTTTATGTTTTTTAATTCTATTTCAATTTATTTTTATGCATGTTTTATTGTATTTTTAATGCATCTTTGTTTTGGCCAGTGAAAGTAAAATAAAGTATTGGTTGCTCGGGGTGGGGGCTTGTTGTCATGTGTCTAAGCGCACGAAAATACATGTTAGGCCCAATTCACACCTAAATGATTTGAAGTGACATTGAAATTTTCACCAGAATCGCTTCAACGCTGGACACTAGGATTTCCAATGGACATGTAAGCTGCGGAAAAATTTGGTGCGGATATTTCGTTATTTCAGAATTCGGATCCGAAAATTCCGATTCGGATGAAATCCGAATTTTCATTAGTTTTGGATGAGTTTACGAGTATTTGTTGTGAATACCACAGAAAACCATATACAGATATTAATACTAAAGCTAAATCCCCTAGACCGGAATGGCATTCGGGATCCGAATTGCATTTGGGAGCTCCCGAATGCCATACGGGTCTGGGAGCCATATACATATATTACTAAAGCTGAGGCTTCCAGACCCGAATAGCAATTGGGAGCTCCCGAATGCAATTCGGAACTTCGGATCCCGAATGCCATTCGGGTCTAGGAGCCTCAGCTTTGATATTATATGTATATACTGAACACAAATTTTCGGTATGGCAACATGGGGACCATATACTATATGGCTCCCATATTGCCTTAACGAAAATTCATGTTCACCCATTTGGATGCATTAAATCAAAAAACGCATCTGATTGGCCAGAGAAGTCACATGCTTGATTTAGTTTCGTTTTTGAACGTAATTCGGATGGGATCCGAAACTCAGAAATTCAGACACATTTGGATGCATTGGGATTTGGAAATTTGGATGTGTCACACAAAACGGGCATAACGTACATTTTTTGCGTGGTTTTTTTGCCTTGTAACTCGCTTTCCATTGGCCAAAAATAATTTTAAAAAAAAAATCCTCAAGTCTGAAAAGTGGGCAAAAACACGCCTACAAATGCCCCAAAAAACAACCAAAAATGCTCAGCTCAGGTGTGAATCTCAGGTGTGAATAGGTCCCTAGTGCTGCTTTATGGGAAGACAGTTGGCATGTCGCATGTCCCCATACCCGGACTTAGTGGATTTTACAGAGTGTTGTCATGGATTTGAGCAGCAGGGTTGCATGTGAAACTCAGAGTCTGCTCTATCAGTATTAGAACATAAATAACATAGACATTGCAGCAAATATCATGGGCCATATGGAGACAATTGGTGGGTTGCTGGCTTCGGTTTCACTTCAGCTAAATTCTAGGATTCCATGGGAAATCTTCCTTGAAGCTTTGCGTAAATCTTTCAGATCTGTGCAGTAATAGAGTGTGAAACTTTACCTAGGTTCCTGTAATGAAGACCAGTCACTGCCGCTCTCTCTCCATGTGCAGACTGACCGGTCTGGTCTCCGCCCACCCCTGTAGTTTTCTGCAGGCCTGCTGCATCCCTCCCACAGCTCCGATCTCTGCACAAGCTATGTACGGCACAGTGATGATGTCACCACTAGTTTTACAAGGTGATCACTCAATTTTAAAGGCATTTGGTGCACAAAAAGTGGATTTATATCCTTTGTAGTTATAAAGGAATATATTTAATGACTTTTTTTATGCCTGGAGTTTAGTTTTGCAAAGTTTAGATGTCAACTTCATTCTTCAAACTGATAACTAATTCCCAGATTATTAACATTTGCTATTACAGTCCTCCTCTCCGTCAGTACAAGTTCTCAACGGCCTAACAGCATTGTAAGCTTCTTCTCATTGTAGACGTGTATTTGAAGTTGTTGATCCCTTCCCATTCGTTTGACATACATCAGGCGCTCCCTTCTTTTTATGGTGTCCTATAAATAAACGCCTGATTCCCAAAGGAAGTCTCTGTTGGTGTCTCTGGTTTTGGGTCATTGGCAATGTCAGGTTTTCCTAATTGGGGGTCTTGATAGTAGAGACAACATTCCTTTTCAGAATTAAGGGACATATTCAGGACTTGGCAGGTTATAGCGTAAAGAGAAAGGACTTTGCATGAAAATTCAGCACCATTATATTCCAAATGAGTCTAAACCTCTGGGTTCCTTGGGACATAGACGGCTCCATGCGTAGCCTGCACCCTGTGTGGGTCTGTGTATTCTGGAGCAGCCATATGCGAGCGTGCTCAAAAGCCGCTGGTTTCACCAAGGGGAAATCCCATCTTAGACAGTTGTCACATATATGCATACAGCCGTTGGGAAGGGAATTTGAAATGTCCCCATTTTAACCGAAACTAAAAGAAAACATTGTGGCTTTGCATACGTTTTGACCAAACCAAGAACATTGGCTGAGGGCCTGAGGCCTACAGATGTGTTCACATTGTGGATAGAAATGGTTAATATTGGCATTGACACATGTTGCTAATGTGCTTTTTCTTCTGATTTTGCAGATTTTGGAGGACACTGAGGCTGTGAATACCTGAATGGCACAAACATGAAGAGTTTAAAAGCAAAGTTTCGAAAAAGCGATGTAAGTACAAACGCCTGAGGGCCTTAAATTGTGCAGCTTTGGTCGTTACTACTGTACTGTTTGATCAGCAGCGTAATCTCTCATCATAAAAAGCGGTACACGTGTGAGATGGTGTTCCTCTCTTCTGATGGGCCCCTCATGTATGTCATAGCAGGAGGGGGTTCCTCTACTCACAATTATGGATTTGGAGAATACAACTTATAGAGGCTATAGGCTGTGTTCACAAAGCTTTACCGCTAGCCTAAGGCGCTCTACTTTCAGCCACGTGACTGTAACCTTTGCATATTATTTATTTATTACAGATATTTCTATGGCGCCGACAATTTACTCAGGGCTTTACATACTGCACATTCACATCAGCCCCTGCCCTCGAGGAGCTTACAATCTAAGGTCCTTATTTCACGCACATACAGGGCCAATTTAGAGAGGAGCCAATAATCCTTCCAGTATGTCTTTGGAGTGTGGGAGGAAACCGGAGTACCCGGAGGAAACCCATGCAAGCAATTTTATTAGACTCAACTATAAATAATTCAGGTTTAATAAGGATAGTTATCATTGTGTGTTAGCTTTGTGAATTGAGTCTTATGTCACCTTAAGAATACTGAAAGCTGAAGAGAGGCCTTTTATACCCCCTTAGTATTCACTCTTTTCTTTCACAGGCTGGCCTTTGCATCTTTTTTTTTGTTTTTTTTAGAAGTGGACTACTCCTTTAAATGACTTATTAAAGGGACAACACATATACATTTTAGAATAGTTTCTCTTGTAATAATGTATTGCCTGGAAAGATATAGAGCTTTGTGCATCATCAGTACATGGGTCAATTATTCCTAATTACTCGTGCTTAATTGAGAACATTAAATGTAATTGTGGTTGGCCATGTCTGACGCTCAGTCGGATGATTTCATTTTGTTCCTGCAGATAAATGAATTGTGGTCAGCAAAGGCGCACTTCCTTCATAATCTTATACAGAAATAGAGCTTCCTCTACCTATCAGATGGAAGGAAATGATAAATCAGACTCAATAATTCTGCTGGCCTCTCTGAGGCCTTTGTAGTAACATAGAACTGACTTGGCTGTTTATGTAGATGTTCAGGTGGCCATAGATGCTGTGATCTATACAAGCTGGGTGTCTAGTCTGAGCGTTCCCTGGTCATAGTTTATCTTGGTAGAGATTAAAGCAGAACTCTTTTAACTTCCCCTCCTTAGCAGAGAGCGTCCTTCCTTTAGTTCTGGATCTACCCTGCATCAGCGCTCCTTCTTTTCCGTGCAGGGTTCCTTTTTGAAATCTAACTTATCTAATTATTGAAATCTAATTATTTTTTATTGGTATTGATATAGCGCCAACAATTTACACAGTGCACATTCACATCAGTCCCTGCCCTCGGAGCTTACAATTCAACGATCTCAATCTATCTTACATGCATACAAATGGGGACAATTAGCCTTCCAGTATGTCTTTGGAGTGTGGGAGGAAACCGGAGTACCTGGAAGAAACCCACGCAAGCACAGGGAGAACATGCAAACTCCTTGCAGATAGTGTCCTGGCCAGGATTCGAAGCAGGGACCCCCAGTGCAGCAAGTCAGAAGCGCCAACCACTACGCCACTGTGCTGCCTTTATTCTTACTTGGATGTTGGATCATATCCAGTGTCACACTTCCTGTCCCAACCAGCTTTCATGCCGTCCTATAGCTCTGAAGACTACAGAAGGCTGTGGTAATGATGCAGCCACCACATCTAGAGGGCGTTACTTGTAGCGCAGTCATGTTAATCCCTAGTAATGCCCATAGACATGGACTGATGTGTCTTCTGCGCTATATTGTATTTTTGCTTAGCAAAGGGCATGTATTCAAGTTCTCCGCCCCAAAACAATACATGCCTCCTGCAGCTCTATTCGTAACGTGATTTGGGACATGTGGGCCTGTGTGTGGGTGCACCTCATTAAAGTAGAACTCCACTTACATTTTTTCTATAGGTCACCTACACCGGTTTTGAAAACAATGCCAATGTCTACTTACCCTCTGCACGATCCAGTGCTTTCCCCAGTTTCCTCCTCGATTCAGGGAAGAATTAAACCGTCATTCTCCTCTATTTCCTTTAAGCCCAGTTAGTTGATAACCAGCACCTCTGGGGGGGGGGCATCATCACACAGGTTGGGCTGGCAGTACTCCAGGTCTTACCTGTCATTACATGAGCATCACTGAGTCTTGGAAGAATGGCGCCCCTTGCCGCTGCCGGAATGAGGAGACGAAGATAAGGAATTATTATTATTATTATTATACAGGATTTATATAGCGCCAACAGTTTGCACAGCGCTTTACAATATAAGGAAGACATTACAGTCACAATACAATTCAAGACAAGATGGTAAGGAGGGCCCTGCCCCTGAGGAGGTAGCTGTGTGGGGCTATACAACCCCTCCTCCCTATGTAATGGAGATGAGGAGAGGATGAGGTGTTTGTAGTCCAAATTAGGAGACCAGCCTAGAGTGACAACAATGTCACTGTAGGACAGGAAGTGTATTACTGGCAGAATCACCAAGTGAAAATTAAGGAACTCCCGGAATGTAAATAGTTAACCCTTGCAGTGCGGCTACCCCCGCACAGCAAGGGTTAACTGCTCATGTTTCACTAGTGGCCAGAATACAGACGATATACTCACCTGATCCTCGGTGCTGCGGCAGTGAGTGTTCTCACATTTATTGCAGATAAATGGACCTGCAGTAGACGTTAGTGGGGCTTAGACTGTGGGAACCCAGGAGAGAAGAGGCTGCGGGGACCAGGCGGGATCAAGGATCAGGTGAGTGTTAACCTATAGGCATGTCTTTGGAGTGTGGGAAATCCCACGCAAGCACAGGGAGAACATGCAAACGCATGCAGATAGTGTCCTGGCTGAACCTGGATTTTAACCGGGGACCT